TCCATCTATCTGCCTGCCCCCTCTCTAGTATCTGATACGGGGCAGTGACAAAGTCAGAAACAGGGAAACGGCCAGTGAAGAGCCAGACAGAGCCCGTCACGTTGCTTAGCCTGTCCCTCGGTCGCCACCAAGCTGAATGTATTAGGTCTTAGAACAGTTCACGAGTCAGGACCCAGGTCTGGGTCGCACGTTCCTAAGTATGTCTCTTGGTGTGTGGCAGCGAAAAGACATGCATGATCAACTCTGGGTTGTCAGGGACAGGGCGAGGGCAGCGGAGGGTCGGCCACCCCCCCGTCTAAAATCCGCGCTCAGGTCCGCTCTCATGGCCTCGCTCCACCCTCTTTCTGAGCATCTGTGTGTTCATTCCCTCCGCTGCGTGTGCTCTCTGGTTCTGAAGGACAGTCCGCTAGGTCCCATTCACCCCCCCCCCCTCACCCCACTGCTGTAGTTGGCGCTAACCAAACACGCACTCACTTTCCCTAAGACTTCGCTCATTCTAAACGCCCAGTTAACATCACTGGTAATCGGCTGTGTCTACCTGAGGTCAATACTCTCTAAACAGGGGGGTCCAAGGTCTGCGGCAAGACCCTGTCAGCCCCCCCCCAACACACACATACACACCTACACACGCATATTACTTCTCAACTCAACATATGACCTAAGTCTGCAACCGTCAACGTTAAGATTATTAGCTGCGGCCTGTGTGTGGAAAAGAATGTCAACGTTAAATTCCGCAGACCTGATGCTGCACCCCTTCCTCATCAACACCCCCCACACACCCATTTTCATACGCGCGGCTGCTGTTGCCAAGACAACCTGTCCAGGAAGTTGGCCCACACTTCTTCCTCCAGGAGCAGGAAGTCTGGAGCAGTGTTTGTGTTGCCTTAGAAAAAACTTGACGGCCTCCTCCCCCCGCCCCCCCCCCGCCCCCGTATCCGCTCCAGCATCCCTCCTCACCCCAGTTCCTTGACTCCCTTCCCCGCCCCCCCACACCTACCTCCTCTAACTCATCCTTGGCATCCAAACTGGTTGAAAGTAGCAGCCTCCCCCCTCCTGGGGCTCCTGCGCCCGCTCCTCCTCCACCTCCCGCTGCTCCCGAAACAGCTGCTGCTGCAGCCCCCTTTCCCTTCTGTAACTCCATGGCTGCGGCCAGGAGGCGGGGGGAGGCCAGGGAGTGGATGAGTGGGCAATCCTAGAAATGAGGAACTCGGGTGTCAGGGACGGGGGGCCAGAGAGACTAGCGGGGAGGGGGGTCCCTGTCCGCTCCACCGCTCCCTCCTCCCCGCAAGGCCGCGCCGGTGGAGGAGGCGAAGGCGACGGCCCTCTGGGTCCTGCCTCTGAGTGGCAGAGGACAAGCCGTCAGCTCCTAAGTATGCTGGGGTAACGGTCTGCGCCCCTACGGGGGGGTGGGAGGGAGGCTTCCCGCCCTGAGGAAGGGGAAGGGGAGCGAGCCCCTTGTGGCTTCTGACCCTAAGAGAAGTAGGGAAAACCTTAAGTTTCTGCTTCAGGAGGTGGGCGAGAGAGCAGTCGTGCCCCGAAGTACNGCCCTGCTGCTTGGAGCTCGTGCTCCCAAGCCAACTCTTAACCAACGCGCCACTCGGCCGGCCCTGACCTGGTTTCTTTAACACATAAATTGCAAGGAAAAAAAACAGAGAGGGAGGAGCCCATATATTAAAAGACTTAAAATTATAACTCACTGAATAAAATAAAAAGCCATGAGTTCCTGCTGATAGATGAACAACTACATAACAAACAGAGAAGGGAAAGCTCTTCCTTACAGTGGAATGCCAACTAATAAATGCAGAGGGAATGACAAACAATTCAGGCAAATATCGTCAATGGACGCTAAAACCAGAAGTAAAGCTTTCACAAGCAAGAGGATATGTACGCGGGTTCAAAACACTTATTAATTACAAGGGGAAAATGGAACCGTAGGGAATCCTGGAGGATGCCACCTTAACCAAGGGACCAAAGCTAATATCCCCAGGAATGAGGCAAGCTGACACTCGCCACTACATGCCACCGATGGGCTGCACTGAAAAGACTGTCACATCGCTCCTGGGGTTTTCTTGCCAAACATGAATCTCAGTCTAATCATGAAGAAATTTCAGACAATCCACGCTGAAAGCTATTCTACAAAAGAACTGGCCTGTCAAAGTGTTTAAGGTCATAAATGACAAAGCTAGACTAAGAGCTGTTTCAGATTAAAGAATTAAAGAGACAGTCCACCACACCAGAACATGTGATCCTGGGCTGCTGCAACAGTATTGGGACAACTGAAAAATTTGAATACATGATATAAATTAGGTAACAGTAACATATCACTGTAAAACGTTCCAATCTTGATAGAACAGTGGTTAGTAACAGAAGACCCTTGTTCTTAGGAAATCCACACTGAAGTATTTAAATCTAAAGTGACATCGTGGCTGCAATTTACTCTCAAAAGGTTAAGATAATATTGTCCATAGAGAGAGACAATGACAGAGCAAATGTGAATTACTGGTGAATCTGGGTGAAGAACATGTGAGAGCTCTATATATTATCATTTTTCTCTAAGCTTGCAATTATTTTAAGAAGTTATTAAAAAATTAAAGAGACATATCAGCCGAATGCAATGCATGGTCCTTGTCTGATTACTGAGTTGAAGAAACCAATTATTATATAAAAAGAATTGATGAGACAATCAAGAGAAAGTCGAGCACTGATATTATATTGAGGAATTACTGTTAATATTCTGAGGTGCGGTCTTGTGGCTGTGTTACAAAAAACTCCTCTCACAGGCACATACTTCGTAAAGTACCTACAGATGAAATAATGGATCTTGGATTGGCTTCAAAATAGCCCAGACTGGGGGACAGAACAGGTTGCCATGTGCTGATAAGCACTGAAACAGAGTGATGCTTACATGGGAGTCATGTTATTCTCTCTATGTTTTATTTATTTTTATTTAATTTAATTAAATTATTTATTGATTTATTTTTTAGCTGAGCCATCCTGCCACCTGTTGGCAGCTCAGCTTGGGCCGGGAATTGAACTGGCAACCCTGTTGCTCTGAGCTTGCACTCTTGAGCAAGCTCTTAACCAACTGAGCCACTCAGCTGGCCCTCTCTCTACTTTTTAATGTTTGAAATGTCTCCCCAAAGAAGTTAAAAACAAACTTAAGAAAGCTTGAGTGTAAGGAAAGAAAAGGACTAACGGAGCTCAAAAGGCCAAACCAAAACCTGCCAGCAGCGTCCCCAGTCAAACAGGGTGAGGGGCAGCTGCAGTACAGTCCGTCCAGGAGCCACGCTGGCTTCACAGGCCAGCTCTGACACGGCCTGTGCTCTGACCTGTGCTCGACATCTGAAGGAGACGTCAGTCACTGGTCCCCGTTCCAAAGTCGTACTTAACGCTAAATACCGACAAGATGTTGACAAAATGGATCTCATATTAAGTCAGCGGGCCTCTCCACGATCACCACCTAAACTACTTCCTGAGCCTTTCATCTTGAGCGTTAACTCACAAACTTTAAGGAGAATCACTTCCCACTTCCCAGTGATGCTGCTGTGGCAGAATGGGGACAAACTGCGATTTACTTGCCCCGATCTCAGCAGTCATCCCAAAACATCTCGCTGAGACCGGGTTTTACTACAGCACTCAAGAGGACAGGTAAGGACAAAGGGATGAGAAGGTCACATTTCTCCTGGGACCCCCCCCCCAAGAGTGGTGGCACAGGGGAGAAGTGAGTTAAGGCCAAGAACTCCTCCAGTCACATGTCAACCTAAAGCAGCCCGAAGCCACTTGGATTTGGAGGTGTCTCCACTTCACCGCCAACAGCAGGTCTGGCTACCCCTCAAATTAGGTCAGACCCGCTGCCTGGCCTCACTCCACAGCACCTACGGACTTGTGAGAAGGAGCTGTGAGGTCGATCACATGAAGCTGAGCTGTGACTCTGCACCCACCCCACCCGCAGCTCTGAGATCCATCATTGCCCAGTCTTGCTCCTAAGTCCTAAGGGGAAAACCCCCAGGTTGGATTTTCTCTTCCTAAACCTCAGCCCTCCCGGCCGAAGATGTTTATCAGGGGCTTCAGTGCCTGCAGCAACAAGGGCCACTGTTTGAGCGGGCAGCTCTGGGGGGACCTGCCTGCCCAGCCTGGGTTAACGAGCAGTGTCAGAGCGAAGGGAGATGGGCGGGAAGCACAAGCGCTCTAGAATTCCAGATGTGGCTTCCTACTCGAAGGCAGGCATCTGCTCAACCAACAGACACAGCCACACAGCAGCTAGCCAGGGAACACACTGCCAACGGAAACCCTTCACCATTTGCCGGCCTTGGGCGGGTTTGGGGTGAGTTTCCAGCCTCTCTAAACCCTGGTTTTGTCATGTGCGCCCAGAGATAAAGCCTGTATCAGGAGCTTGCTGAGGACTACAGGAGGTAACCTCCGTGAAAGACCCTAGCACACAGCCTCCGTGGAATTACAGCCGATTCCCTTTGTGAGGAGGCTCAGCAAGTGCACAGCTAATCTAGGAGGGCCAGAGCACCTCACCCCCACCCGCCTCTGCGGCTAATGGCTCTGTCTCCAGATTCCTGGAAACTGACCCCTGCTACTATCGGGCATGGGTCAAATCGCTGTCCAGGCTGGAGCTCCCTCTCCCCCTTACCCTCTGTAAACTCTCGCCTTCTAGGAGAGAACAGGGTAGGGAAGAGGGAAGGAGGCCTGACCGGTGGACCCCCACCCCGATCCTTGTGCAAAGCCAGCCACACAGCACTAGAGGCTGGCCGAGTCTCAGCTGTGATGTAACACAGACCCTGGACTGAACCAGGTTTCTAAGCTCTACTCAAGAGGCCTGAGGCAATTCTGTGGGTCACTGCCCAGTCAAGCAGTGGGAGGCCCAGCTAGGGAGGTAGGAAGTGGGCGAGTCCAGAGCTGGGTGCACAGATGAAAGCAGCGGGCGAGTGTGCGGGCCAGGCCTTCCCAGGCAACAGGAGCACAAAAGACATGGCTCTCCCCAGCTACTTTTCCAAAAGGGGATGGGAGAGCTCATTACAAGTCACTCGGGGAGACAGAAGGACTGCACCCCCTCAAAGAGGGCCACGGGGGCCAGATCCCCACAATCGAGTAGCAGCACCCCTCGTCCCCCGTCTCGAGGCCCTTAGTAAAGATGGAGTTGCCGTGCAGTTGCTAACACCTGCGTGGATCGGCTCTGCTCTGAGTAAGCCCTCCACACGGCGCCTCAGTGAGCTGAGTAAATAGTTACCATCTCTAGGAGCTTCTGAATTCATTTTTCTAGCACTAAGAGTACCTGGCCATGGTTTCCATGACAGCAGCAGCAGGTGGAGTAGGGGCAGAGGCGGTGGGGGTGACCTTCCAGTTTGCCAGTATACATACATAGACACCTGAAGCCAAGGGCCTGATGTCCTCTAACCTCTCAGTCCCCCTCCCTCAGCCAGGTGAATATACAGTCTGGTAAAAAGTGTGTATGAAATACCACCCCCTTATGGGAAGTGAGGGGACCTGAAAGACTAAATCCCACCATTTCAGAGAAAGAAGGTATGATCCAACCTGCAAAATCCCAGTTAGTAAAGTTACTGAACACGCTGGGTTCTAAGCAGTCCACGACCTAGAGTCACCTGTATGTGAAATGAGGGTTTAAGGGGAGGAAAAAAATTAGAGATGACTGACTCAAAGCACATTCCTTAGGGATCCCGCCCAGGCAAGATAGGAATTCCTCCCTGGAGAAAAGCTGGGAGGGACATACCTCTAACCAAAGGCAGCCCTGAGATCTGTCCACAGCTTACAGGCAAGTTTTGACTTGCTGGGGCCACAGTGCCCGCTTTCAGCTGACTTCCCAGTGGACCGGGTCCTTCTCGACAGAGGGATGGCCAAGAGCTGTGAAGACTCATGAGACTAAGAGCTACGTGTTCTAAACGCCTCCAATCTCTGGCACTATTTTTATCTCATTCCCCAAATCGGGATGGGGATGGACAAGAAGTCCCTCTTCAAAGAGAGGAGCAGGGCCAAGGAGAAGAAAGGGTACAACACGCTCCCTTGGGGAGAAGTCACGGTCCCTGCCTGGGACCGTCCCCACCCGAGCTTCGTCCTCCTGACCCCTAAAAGGCCTTTCCTCATCATGCCCACTCCAATGACCCAGGCTCGTCACTGCCCTAACCAGCTGGGCTTTTTTAACCTTCCTACGGGCGTGTTAACTCAGTCTTTAGACGGTAAGCTCTGGAAGGCAGACCTCGGGTCTCCCTCATCCTGCTTTCCTATCAAGCAGCACACAGGAAGGTCGGGAAGCTACCTCTGTGCTCCTGCGCAACAGACAGGCCCGTGTTGGAAAACCACCAAGCCAGAACAAGCAGAGGTCAGTCAGTCAACGTCAGGGTTTGATAACTTCTGTGGGGAGACGCAGAGGAAGAAGCCAGTGAGTCTTGCCCTTAAGAGACACTCTGGTCTAAAGGGAGCCACACACATCGGATAAAAAACAGAATGGCAAGGCTTTCTGGAAAACTCAAATGCAAGGGACAAAGGGCAAAGAGCCGAAGACATGCTGGGAAA